GTTTCTGTTCTAAACTCAGATCGCAATTAGCGAATCTTCTTTATATCTTGGAAAGACGTTTGCATCTGAAAAAAAATAAAATCAGCGAAGCATTTTATGAAATTTGTAAATAAAAGTAATTTTCGTTTTAATAAAATGTCTTACGTTTGACGTGAAAACAGACATCAAAACTCCATATAAAATACAGCCAACAATTACGAGAACACAGAGTACAAAAATAAAGACTTTAATAAAAATTTCACTTTCGAAAAGATGACAATAAAGTAAAGTAGACAAGTTTCTATTAATAAAGCTGCATACAAAATCGTTAATACATAATTGAACGGTCCGTTTAATTGATTGGTGTAAGTCCAAATTTCATGGTGTTGTACCATAATTTCTTCCAATTCCAATTTCAAGTTTGGATTATCGTTTGTCAATAACTACAAGTCTTCTGATACTTTCTGAAATGCTTTCGTTAAACTAACTGTAAGCAAGAAAAGAAAGAAAGCGAGGAACGGTAAAGTTCCACTCACTATAGTCGAAAACATTCCAAATTCAATGCTACAAACAAATGCCTCCAGCTTGAATAATTCTTTTTTTATTAAATCGTCGTAGAGTAAAAAGAGATTCACATAGTCAAACTACATTATAACAGTTATTGTCGTAATTATTGCGGCAATTCCTGTGTAATTAATAAAAGGAAACATCTGATTTTGGCAAAAGTATTTCAAATTTCTTACTTTTATTTTTGTATTTAATTTCACTCTTTTTACGATGCTGAATATTATGACAAACATAAAGGCATAAATCGTCACACCTACTTTGACAAAGATGTCGTCGATAATCGAGTACCAGGAGTTGCAAGGCGTTTTACTTGACAGAGTAGGAATTATCATGCAAAAGGTGAGAAAGAAATGTATCCAGTAGATACATTCTATCAGGAATATGTAAAATCTGTTTATGAAATCGTAAAAATAATTGTAATTTCTTGTGACGCACGAACAAGGATTAAAAAAATCCCATCCATAAACAATACGCATTGAAGTAAATGATGATAAAAAACACTTCAGACATATTTCTTGTTCAAAACTTGCAGTGGCTTGCCTGATACTTAATGACGTTTGCATTATGTTCCACTGAAACAATTGTAATAATCTTGAAGATTTTAGAACAGTTATCTTGTATTAAAAAACACTTATCGAACAGAAAGTGGTCGATGTAAAAAATAAGTTGACGTTATTGTTCACCTTCTACGATGAACTGTACTCACTTATATAAAAATTGTGTATCTGTTAGTGGTTCTTGTAAGTGTTTTCGATAAATTGAGAATTAAAATTTCGATGTACCACACCGATAATGCATAAAAGTAGAAAACCGCTATAAACCTAAACACTATAAATGTAATTCTGTTGTTGATGTCGAAACCGTGTTGTATTTATGTATTGTATACTGGCACAATGAAGTGACTTTTCTTCAACACTGGGCAAGTTTCAATCTTTATTCAGTTAACTGAATAAAGATTGATACTATAAATGTGATCTATAAAAGATGATTTGTTTAAGTATCACTATATATGTGAAAGTAAAATGTATTGATTACTCTTTCTAAATTAATCTNGAACTGTACTCACTTATATAAAAATTGTGTATCTGTTAGTGGTTCTTGTAAGTGTTTTCGATAAATTGAGAATTAAAATTTCGATGTACCACACCGATAATGCATAAAAGTAGAAAACCGCTATAAACCTAAACACTATAAATGTAATCTATAAAAGATTATTTGTTTAAGTATCACTATATATGTGAAAGTAAAATGTATTGATTACTCTTTCTAAATTAATCTAATTAAGTAATTTAGTAATTTCCTCGTGAGAAAATATCAATATGCTCTTATACTAATTACTGAATACACTTAAGATATATTACAATTAGTTACCACATCTCTTAAAAATGCAATATACTTGAGTTGTTTTCATAGAAACAGATAAGTTTTATACTGTTAAGGTTCAAAATCGATGAAGTTTCCATTTTATTTCTAAATTACTAAGCGAGTAAACTTCCTAAAGAGACATCATTTACGTTTTCCTAAGTATTTAGAGGAAAATCCAAAACTGTATTCCAAGAAATTACAGTAGAGCGTCGATTATCCGAATCAATTGGGGACGGGTTGTTCGGAAAATCGATGTTTCGAATAACCGATTATGTACGAAAAAATATATTAATTTTATCCCATCTTGACATTTTTCTCCGTTCCGTGTCGCTTCGCGTTAAATTTTTGTCGATGTTAAGCCTAACGAAGAGTATTGTATCGTTAAAATACGAACAAAATAAACAAAGTAGAGCATCGATTTTCCGGAAGTCAATCATCCGAAACGTCAATCATCCGAAAGAATTCCAGTCGGCAAATTATAATTTTTCGCCAGTGCTGTGGCGCTTCAATCTTTGGCTCTGTTTTGGGCTACTCAAATATTTTACGTTTTTGATACTAAATTAACATTAGAAGTATAATTTTTTATTATTGTTATATTTTTCATTATATTTATTTTGTTTGTACAAAATAAAAAAANTACTCCAAATCTTCCCACGAAAGTTTGTTTTAGTTCTCCCCAACTCTGATCGTCCGCGTGTTCGACGTACCAATTTAGGGCTTCGTCTTCTAAATAGTCTCCCATTAATATTATTTTGTCCTTTTCGCTCCATTCCATGTACTCCGCCACCGTTTCAAATCTCCTCACCCAATTCTCTGCTTTAATCTTGTCGTTATTACCCCGAAATATTTGAACTTTTGGCTTACTTTTCGGTGATTCTTTATCTTTTTCTCTCCTATCCGTTCGTTCGGTGTCGTCTCCGTAATAGGTAATCCTTTTCTTCGGTCTCATCCTGTCGACTTGTAAATATTTTATGTAAGTTCGAGAAGGAAATATCGTTAACTATATGAAGTTCCTTTGTCTTGTCCTACTATATCCGAGGTCTTGCACCTGGTCCGTTCTTTCTGACTTTTCAGAAGCCTCTGACCTTATTTTCTATTATTCCACGTCACTCCTTTTGTTTCAAGCGCCTCCGGCTTTGGAGGGCCAATCACACCTTTACATATATATCATTTCACGAAACAATTTATTTTTAAAGCTAATGTCACTCTAAATGAAAATTGTTGTATAAATTCATTTATACAACAATTTTCATTTAGCGTGGAATTTCAATTTGCGTGGGAAGAAATATGCTTTGTAGACACATTCAGTAAAAAAAGAATACAGTTTCTTCAAGACTATCTAGAAATACTCTAGAAATAAATCGTCAATCTCTTGTTTGATATGTTTTAAACGTAAGGAATAATAATATTAATAATAATTCTAATGACATGGTTAAATAATAATATAATTTTGTTACGCATAAAAAAAACAAAAATTGCAAATAAAAGTAATGTCACCCATTTTTAGAGCATTTTTTACTGTAAGAACATTTTAGTCTAACGTTCTTAAACATAAAAGCACAATTTTATTATAGAATAGACAGTATGTACGATCCTTGAGCAAAATATATGCAAAGCAGGTTATTCATTGCAGCGAGTGGCATTTGATATTTCTTTATTTTTTGAATATTAAAAGCACAGTTTTCCATTTCCAGAGTTAGGTCTAGTGACACTAGGAATGTGTTAGCCTAAACATTAGCCTCCACAAAACCACAAATACTAATTCTGTGAAAACAAGACCTTACTGTATTAATATTCCACTGAAAAGACCAAATCTGCCATAAATTCCTGTGTTAATGCCGACAAAATAACGTTGAATAATTTTAATAACCGCAGATTTTAGTTCGAATAGATAATGATTGTGTTCTATCTTTATTTTCACTTTTTAGTTTGTTTTCTTAGTGTCTGTTTATAAAAAATATACAATAGAGTTAATTAGTATTAAAGTGTTCAGTAAAGTAGCAGATAAAAAACTAGAAATGCATTGTGAACCAGCTGTTTTTTTAGTTTAATTTACATAAATAAAAATGTGCATATGTTTTAAGATATAAACAATAATTCCCATTCTTCACTTACAAATTCTTATTTATTATTTACATATAACATACCATAATGATAAGTTCTTTTTAATATTAATAATAATAATATATTGTTGAAAAAGTTTTCTATACCCCAAAGGAAAGCCTTCCTGATTGTATGATGAGTTATCACCAGACTGAGTCCCAACATTACACATGAGGGTATGAGAGTGGCCACAACCCTGCTGCATATCAGGAGCATATGAAAGAGTACAAAATCGGGTGAAATCCAGCCAGTTGTAAGATAGTTATAAGCCTCAAAAGATTTGTAAGTTTTCATTTGTGAAAGAGTGTAGTAATTTGGTGTCAAAACCAAATTCTACTTTAGGCAACAACTCTTGATCTACAACGAAGATGTTGACTTCGTACGGATTGACACTTTGACATAATGAAACATTTTCTTTATATAAAGCAACATCTCGTACAGTCAGACTGCTAGAATACCTGCTAGAAAAGCATTTTTTAACCTTGTCCGTGATATAAAAATATTGGAGTTCTATTGATTTTAAATTTGAAAAAATGCATTGTCAACTTGTCAAATAACAAACCACGTGCAAGCTACGCAAGCCAAACCACAAACATGGTGAAGGGGAGGAGTAAACGTGCGTTTTATCACGTGATATGCAACCTTAAAATCTCTCTACAGATACTAAATTTCGGTCTTAATTTAATATTTTATTTCTCATAAAATTTAAAAAAAATGGTATAAATTTCTTCGCAAAAAACATGGATCACTGACATCCTTTACATAAATAACATTAGAGTACAACGACATTTTGATTTTAAAGACTTTTAAAATTTATACATAAGAAATCATTAAAATTTTATCAATATAAATAAATGATTATTTTATGCTAAGCTTTAATTAAATGTTCGATAATCATAAGACATAAGCAAAGATAAATATGTATTTTTAGAGAAGTGCAAAGTAAGGACTCGAATAAATCAATTTCATTTATAATTTTTAGTAAAATTATTACAATTATATAAAGTATTTATACGAAAAATGTCACTTTTGCTCAACCCTGATCTTTCTTTGACGCCACGGAGCCTCACACCTGGTTTTAAAGCTACCATAGTTTTGCTGTGCTCGTCCTTTGAGAAAAATCTTTCTCCATACAGCATTATAGAATCATAATCAAAATCATTTAATATTCTCATTTGATATGGCGTAAACTTAACGAACTGAGATTCCATATCTGTAAATAGATTACAATACATTAAACACAAGTTTCAATTCACTTTTTCTTCAAATAAGTACTAAAATTGTTATTCTCTTACGTGGCTTTATATTCTCCCAAAATATTCTTATGTATTCATCTCTGTCGGGTCGATTCTGTTCGTGATAAAACCCAACAACGTGATTCAATTCATGAACAATAGTTCCAAAATACATGCAACCATCTGACAGTGATACGGAATGTTCGCCTTTATCTCGACCCACTGAAGCGTAACATCTGAAAGTATATTACTTCTAATAATTTTGCTTATATTTTGTTGAGATTTTTACTTCACTTACCCAATATCCATGAAAATTTTTATGAAATTTTTTTCATTGGTTCTCTCTATAAATCGAATACAAGTATTTTCATGGAAACTCTTCATGGCTTCTCTTATAAGCCGTGTCGATCTTCTCGAACGTACTAAAAGTTTTAAAAAGAAATATTAAGAGACATATTTAAAAAGTTTTTAAGTAACATAAAACGAATTTTTACGAAGCTCTTCTTCAATTACGTATGGTATGAATCCTCCGGGCCACAATTCGAAATTATATGGAACTGCAGTTTTCGTCTAAAAAATTTTAAATTACACCAGAATCATTTTAAATTTCCAATCTTCTATCATTTCTAAAATTACTTACATTATCAAAATCTCCAATCATATCGCCACCGAACAGATTGGGATTTTGCAAGGCAAGATCGATATCTTCCGAATCTACTTGTAATATAATTTTGCTAATTAATTAATGTAAAAACTAAAATACTAACAATTATTATGGGTTACAACCTTACCTTCAGAATATTCCTGATTGACATTTTCAAAATTTTTGATCATTTATAATTTTAGAAAAAGCTAAGAGGAAGATTGCTAAACAAATCATTTTTAAAAATTACAGTTCGAAAACGGACGTATTTCACTGTAATAAAAAAAGTATAAAAAAATTGTTTATACAGAATGCATATTTTGTTATCTTTCTGAAATAAATGCAAAGTAAACATTTAGATAATTTTAAGACTTTGAATATTTACAGAATATTCGAAAATACTATTTGTAGAATACAGTCGCCCCCTATAACGTGGGTTCCTATAACGGAAATTCCTATAACGTAGCGAAAAAATTGCGGCAGTATTCGTATAAAGGGACTCGTAAAACGTCGTCGCCGACTCGTATCGCGACAAAATTGGTCGAATCTGGACCAATAGTGGATGAGCATCCGAACTACTTTCCGCTGTCCAGCGCCACGCTACGGAAAGTTTAGGCGAGTAAGTTGAGTTTACTATCCTCTGTACAGTATTTAAATTAGGTACCGTAAGTCTAATACAGCACTAATTTTATAGATTTCTTGTGAAAGAAACATTTCTTATTCAACGGCCATGAAAATTATTTATATTAATGATGTCTCCAAAGTTGAACGAAGTTTTCGCAGAAATATAACCTATCAGAAAACGCGGCCGCCGTTTGGTGCGCTGCTCCGCGACGAAAACAAGTGTAAGCAACGGCGTAGTCGAACGGTGCACACTCGGTAAGTAATCCTACAATTTTTTGTTTATAGCATAGTTTATACAGATTATTCCCAAAAAAGTATACGTGTTTTCGAAATGTTGAGTCGAATTATTCTAGAATCGATTAATTTTATAGAAGAAAACCTTTCAAACAGCCTTAGTCCGTAATCTTCACACGTGTCGGGCTATGATTGGCTCATGTATTTAAGGACTCCTACAACGTAAAATTCTTATAAAGTGGAACGTATCTAAGCGTTATAGGGAGGTCTACTGTACGTTTTTGAGAATACAAATGCATTCCTTCAGAAGAAAGCTGATGCCGCATCTGGGAGAATGTTCAGTTGTTTTAAGCACTTATAATAAAATAAGTTTAAAATTTTTAAAAGCTTGAAGCGTATTCGTTATTGATTTTTTTTAATTTCGATATTTTTAAACAATAGTTTACAAAACCTGAAAATTATTATTTTTTAATGCGACAGATTTTCAGACATTTGCTAAAATTGATACTAGCCTTGCTTTTACATAGGGTATTGCATGTCATTTTTAAAGTTCTGGCCCATGTAATTTATGGTGTCAATATGCATGCCTCAACGTTTTCAATAATAACCGAGTTTTCAGTTCTGCAAGAATTAAATTTATGTTTTGAGATCCTTTTTCATATTCAGTGTGCTCATTGATAATGTTTGAACATCTGCTTTTAGCTTCTGTAGAGTCTCACCAAATATACAATACAATATTTCCAATTAAAGCGGTATTTAGAGCTCTCCGTAGAATGAACTATTATACAAATCTCGAATAGATTTAATACAGTATGTCGTGTTTCAATATTCGAAAAACAATTTTACTTCAGAAATTTATATGGCAAAATTTGTCGCTATCTTCTAATGTGCATATTACGTAAGTTTGCGTTGCCGACTCCTTCAAACAGAATTAACCCTTTTCTTTAAAAATTTTCACCATATATCAGTAAACTTAAATTCTTTTGTTTTGGTTCGATGGCCTCACATTCTCAGTTTCCTACTATAGCTATTCCAGATTCTATGCAACTTCCCCACCAGCTATAAACGAGAACATACCTCTGATCCTATTTCTTCATGTTCTATAACTTCATACTAAAAAAATGCTATGCCACTGGATTTTTTTACTCCATTTATACAGTATACTTGATTAAAAAACAAAAGCAATATCGGATTGAAAAATCCTAGGAAATTTTACGGAGTGATTTGTCCCTGTCTGTTATCACCCGGCCCTCCTATTGTGGGCCTGCTTGAATCCAAGATTAGCTTGATAAAAAAAAAGCCTTCTTTGTGCTCGAATGAAGAAAGATTTTCAAAAGGAGACAGTATAAACCCGATTAAATAAAAAACATAAACAGCAAGAAAAAACAAAATTAGAGATACAAACTGTAGCTTAAACAATTAATTTACAGTAATTCATGCATAAGTTAATCAGTGTCATGCACTATAAAAAAACGTATATTTTTGATACCATGCAGTAAATGTGACTTAATGTAAATTAATAGCGATTATAATTTTATATTCTCGCATAATTTACATTTGTATTATTTACTTTTAACATTTATTCGCACACAAGTATTTGTTATCATAGAATGTATTTGTTATTTAATTATTGTTAACTTATCATACACAAAAATGGCAACATTTTTGAATTTATTTAAAATTTAAACATGGTTTATTAAATCTGTTGAAATAATTTATATGAAGTTATTGTTTTTTTATTTTCACAACGCTTAAAGATGATTTCGTTGTGATTACGTATCGACTAATTGGGCATAAGCTTCTAGGCTTTGATTACGCCCAGTGGTAAAGTGTGACATAATTATTATGTAATAGTAGTTGTACGCGTTTATGATAATCGTTAAGTGAGAAATAATGCCTTCCGGGAGGTCTTTTAAGGGTAACTAGCTCCTATAGATGTGGAGAAAAACCAGAAAATTCTACGCGGCCAGCCCATTCTGGCGAGGCGCGAACCCTCTACGAACTTCTAGTGTTCAGGGAACGGAACTACTTGGCCAATGGTGGGAATTCCAAAGGTATCCAATACGAAGATAACAGTTGTTACATTGCAAAAAATTTCAAATACGAAGATAACAGTTGTTACAACGCAAAGAATATTACAAAGCAGTTAACTGAGAACANAAGTATTTATACGAAAAATGTCACTTTTGCTCAACCCTGATCTTTCTTTGACGCCACGGAGCCTCACACCTGGTTTTAAAGCTACCATAGTTTTGCTGTGCTCGTCCTTTGAGAAAAATCTTTCTCCATACAGCATTATAGAATCATAATCAAAATCATTTAATATTCTCATTTGATATGGCGTAAACTTAACGAACTGAGATTCCATATCTGTAAATAGATTACAATACATTAAACACAAGTTTCAATTCACTTTTTCTTCAAATAAGTACTAAAATTGTTATTCTCTTACGTGGCTTTATATTCTCCCAAAATATTCTTATGTATTCATCTCTGTCGGGTCGATTCTGTTCGTGATAAAACCCAACAACGTGATTCAATTCATGAACAATAGTTCCAAAATACATGCAACCATCTGACAGTGATACGGAATGTTCGCCTTTATCTCGACCCACTGAAGCGTAACATCTGAAAGTATATTACTTCTAATAATTTTGCTTATATTTTGTTGAGATTTTTACTTCACTTACCCAATATCCATGAAAATTTTTATGAAATTTTTTTCATTGGTTCTCTCTATAAATCGAATACAAGTATTTTCATGGAAACTCTTCATGGCTTCTCTTATAAGCCGTGTCGATCTTCTCGAACGTACTAAAAGTTTTAAAAAGAAATATTAAGAGACATATTTAAAAAGTTTTTAAGTAACATAAAACGAATTTTTACGAAGCTCTTCTTCAATTACGTATGGTATGAATCCTCCGGGCCACAATTCGAAATTATATGGAACTGCAGTTTTCGTCTAAAAATATTAAATTACACCAGAATCATTTTAAATTTCCAATCTTCTATCATTTCTAAAATTACTTACATTATCAAAATCTCCAATCATATCGCCACCGAACAGATTGGGATTTTGCAAGGCAAGATCGATATCTTCCGAATCTACTTGTAATATAATTTTGCTAATTAATTAATGTAAAAACTAAAATACTAACAATTATTATGGGTTACAACCTTACCTTCAGAATATTCCTGATTGACATTTTCAAAATTTTTATCATTTATAATTTTAGAAAAAGCTAAGAGGAAGATTGCTAAACAAATCATTTTTAAAAATTACAGTTCGAAAACGGACGTATTTCACTGTAATAAAAAAAGTATAAAAAAATTGTTTATACAGAATGCATATTTTGTTATCTTTCTGAAATAAATGCAAAGTAAACATTTAGATAATTTTAAGACTTTGAATATTTACAGAATATTCGAAAATACTATTTGTAGAATACAGTCGCCCCCTATAACGTGGGTTCCTATAACGGAAATTCCTATAACGTAGCGAAAAAATTGCGGCAGTATTCGTATAAAGGGACTCGTAAAACGTCGTCGCCGACTCGTATCGCGACAAAATTGGTCGAATCTGGACCAATAGTGGATGAGCATCCGAACTACTTTCCGCTGTCCAGCGCCACGCTACGGAAAGTTTAGGCGAGTAAGTTGAGTTTACTATCCTCTGTACAGTATTTAAATTAGGTACCGTAAGTCTAATACAGCACTAATTTTATAGATTTCTTGTGAAAGAAACATTTCTTATTCAACGGCCATGAAAATTATTTATATTAATGATGTCTCCAAAGTTGAACGAAGTTTTCGCAGAAATATAACCTATCAGAAAACGCGGCCGCCGTTTGGTGCGCTGCTCCGCGACGAAAACAAGTGTAAGCAACGGCGTAGTCGAACGGTG